CAAAAAGAAAAAAGCTGGAAGTGGCGCTGTGGCTCAAGTGGTAGAGCACTAGCCTTGAGCTGAAGAGCTGAGGGACAGCGCCCAGGGCCAGAGTTTAAACTCCATGACTGGATCTCCCCCTCACCCCCCAAAAAAAGATGTGATTTAGGAGTGGGGTGGGTTTTATTTGCCGTATTTTTCAGTTTTACAAAGTTTAATAGTTCATATGTTTGTTTCTCATTATAGATAAATGCTTGTATACATTATTAAATTTGTATTTGTCAGCATTCTTTGCTTTTTTTCCTCATAGAGAGACATAGAATTATAGAATTAAGAAACATTAGAGACTTAAAACCTTGATCTGACCCAAGGAATCTTGTTCTCAGATCAACCCTCTTTCTGCTCAGTGGTGATTTGAATCTGATGCTAATACTCAGAACTTCAGGCTGTTTTTCTACTTCCTACAGAAGAACTCAGAATCAGAGCCAGTATCTACTGATGGTTTCCTTTTGATCTAGAAGATTTCGGTGACTCTATCTAGTAAGCCTTGGACGATGTAAGTTATTCAACCAGTCAGAGCAAAACCATGATTCAGAATATGAGCAAATGGCTCTCATTTTCCTAGGAAGTTTTCAACACAAAAACACTGTGTTTTTGAATAAAAAGTAAAATTTAAATCCAATGGGTGGAAATTTCTTGTAAGAAGATAGAAAAAACCCATAGCCCTTTCTATTCTTGAAAATGAGAGTTGTTTTTGTCAAAGCACCTGAGACCCAAATGTATTTTCTTTGAAGTGAGTTTGGCAGGTTATGATGAAGCCTGCGCCTCTATGATTTCATTCTTTGGTAGAACCCCCCACCTCCACCTTTTGCTTTCTCATGCTTTGGTGTTTCACAGTTTGAAAACACAGAGGACATGGCTAAAAAAAGTACCTTGGATATAAAAGATTTTATCTGAAGGCGGTAGGTTTGCCTTTATTTCTAATCAAGCTGAAGCTTTATTCGTTTTGATGGACCTATTTTGTGGTTCAAAAAAATATTTCAGGCAGCCTGAGAAATGAACAACTGTATTAACAGAAAGAGCATACACCAGAAACCAGCCTCAAAGTTGGCCATGCCCCCTGCTTCTCTAGAGTACGGTGGTCCTTGGCCCACATTCTTTCCTTAGCTTGGTAAGTTACTTAATCTCATCTACCAAAGCAGAAAGGAGTGTTCATCTCGGGAAGTTGTGAGGACCAGCTGAATGAGCGGTGAACTAAAAGTCTGACCAAAAAAAAAAAAAAAAGATGTCTCTTCATCTGGTCCTGGTGCCTGACACACAGAAGTCAGGAAGGAAATGCTTAGTACAAAAGATAAGGCCTAAAACCTGCTTCAAAGGAGTGTAGAATATAGAATATGGCAAAAAAGAAGGATCCCAGGAAAAAGGTTAAATCCTGAAGGCTTCAGTGAAGTTTGAAGGAAGTCGTAGAAAGCAGACAAATGAATCTGTTGGAGACAAATGTTAGTTCAGGCATTTTCAGTGCAGTGACTCATGTTTGGTGGGCTGTTACTGTACCACTTCAGCCATGCCTCCAGACCCACTCTCATGCGGGTTATTTTCAGATAGAATCTAGAGAATTTCTCTGCCTATGTTTGCCTTGAACTGTGATCCTCCAGAGCTCTGCCTCCGAGTAGCTAGGATCACAGGCGTCAGCTCGTGACGCCTGGCTTAGTTCAGAGAGTTTTATATGAAGCTGTGATGTAAGTAGAATTATGTGTAGAGAACCACTGTCATGCTTTTCTTAATTGAATTAAAGAGCATATGTTTATTTATTTGCTTGTGCTTTCGGTAACTCAATAAGTACATAGTGAACATTTATCTGTGCCAGGAATGTTTTTGTACTGGGAATTCAAGGAAGAAGGATATGCACAAGGGAGTTCTAGCCTGCTGATGGGAGAGAAACAGGAAAGCACTGAGGACATTACCTGCGGGGTTTGAAAGAGGAAGAGAGGGGAGGGGGCCAGAGAGAGCACCAGGGGATTTTGAGATGAGGTATCATGTGGTGGAGAAGGGGGAGGGAACTATGGAGGTGCTGACATTCCAGGCAGAGAACTAGACTGAGCAAAGGCACAGGTGTGCCTGAGCAAAGGCACAGGTGTGCAGTGGCTTTGCTCGTGTGTGAAGCTGTAGTGTGGAGACAGCTGCTTCACCAGCCCCTCCCCCCTCCCCCCCTGCTCAGGGCGAGCCTTTGCAGAGGTGCAGAGGGAGGACTGGCAGTGGTGGTGGGAGGGACTTTAAGGAACAAAACGGTATCCTCAAGTGGAAAGCCTGAAAAGTCAGGCCCAAGGATCGAACTAGAGAATTTGGGAAGCATGGTGAAGTTGGGAGTTCAGAAGGTGAGGCCTCCAATCTTTGTCCTGAACTCTAAGCCCCATAGGAAAGACAGTGGAGATGAGGGTGTTACAAATGAACACGTTTTCCAAGCCTGAGCACTGGGAACCACAAGCTTGGACCACTGGACTCTAGTTTAAATTCTGCCGGCTTTCTAACTCTTCAATCTCTAGTAATGAGAAATTTTAGAAAACTACTATCTTTTCTATGGGGATAGATAGAGACACCTGTTCACAAATCTGACTTGAAACTTGAAGAACTTGTTTAAAATGGATGCAAATGAACATCTGTGGAAATTCTTAGCCAAGAATGGCTAGATTTAGCAACAGCGGGCCAATAACTTGAAAGGGGAAAATCTTCTTTGGGGCCGATTTCATAGACTTGACTTATGCTGTTTGTTGAATAGGCAGACAATCCATATCTTTCAAGGAGTTATCAAACATTCTTGATAATTAAAAATCCCCCAAATTAAGATTGTATTGCATTTAAATTGTATCCATTTCAGTGTGCTCTAACATCTATGAGTATGGTTATTTTCAAAGGATCTATGTGCCAGAATATTGTCATATAAAATTATTTTTTATAACTGGTGGTTCATGTCTGAAATCCTAGATACTCAGGAAGCTGAGATCTGAGGATTGTGGTTCAAAGCCAGCCTGGGTAAAAAGGTCTGTGAAGCTCTTATCTCCAATTAACCAGTAAAAAGCCACAAGTGGAGATATGGCCCAAGTGGTAGAGTGCCCTGCTTTAAGTAAAAAAAAAAAAAGCCAAGCAAGAACACAAGGCCCAGAGTTCATGTCCCAGTACCAGCACACATACACATACCAGTTTTATTCTTAGGAACCGTATATGTGCTATTCAAATGTCATACTATACCTTTTGCATTTCCAGTGCCATGAAAACCCTATAATTTTTGCCTCAAATCCATGGATTACAATAACTGTCGTCATCTGTGGATCAGATGGCTTCCCTGTCACATGACAGTGGAGGTCCTTATTTCAAATGGTGCTGGTTCCTTGGAACTTCAGTATATTTTTCTTACTGTCCCTTGGGCCATATTGCATTTTGAGAACATTCTACATATGTGTAAATATATCCTTGTACTTGATAGTATATTTTATATGCCGATTTTCCTAGATATGATTATTTTATCACTTTAATAAACCTATCAGGGGGCCAGAAAACTAACCCATGGCTGAGGGTTCTTAACTAGGAGACGAACATCCTGTGCATAGCTGATACGCTGCCTATAGACCAACCTTCCACAAACAACAGGCTAAAATCTGGACAAGCTGGAGAGCAAGCTTTCTGGTTTTTAGTTTTGGCCAAAGGATGGGCGAAGGTGGCCAAGTCTGAGGGTGACTCATACACACACACACACACACACACACACACACACACACACACACACATTATGATACTATCATCCAAATCTCACTGGAAGCTGCATCCCTCATGATGAAATAGGAAAACATGGTAGTATAAGAGGTGTAATTCAGTGCTGTTTTATAGCATTTGGTGTTATAGGATAAATTATTTTCCCTACCTAAAAAATTCATACATTCACATCCTAACTCTAGTACCTTAGGATGTGATTGTCTTTGAAGCTGGTGTCTTAAAGAGGTCTAGGCCCCAGTCTAGTGACTGGTATACTGATAGGAAGGGGAAACATGGAGACATACACAGAGGAAGAGGCCTGTGTGAACACACACGGTGACTGTCCTCCGTGCCAAAGTGGGGGCCTGGAGTGGACGCTCCTTCACTGCATCCAACCCTCGACACCTGGATCTCAGAACTGTGAGACAGACCTTGTAGTTCATGGCATTTTTTACAGCAACCCTCTCCATTCACAACCCTTGGGACTAGTGGGGGAAAGGCTGGGGCCCGCATGGCTAGGAGCGAGTTTCCAGATCATGCAGTATTTGGAACACTCACTGTACCTTCTCAACTATTCAAACACAGCAACAATAAGGACATTTGTGTGACTACTAGGAGCCAAAAATGTTAGCAGTCAACTGTACTAGTAGATTTCCAGTTTTGCTCCTGCTTTTCAAAAATAAGGAAATTTGAGAAGAGTTTTTATGAACTGAGTAATATCACATGGAGGTCATGTCGGTGGTAAAGTGGGAATACATTTGAAACTTCCTAATGTGCACAATTAGTGTTAGGCTGGTGAAACTTCTCTATTTCTCATTAAGAAATCTATAAAAGCTGGCCTTGATGCTACACATCCAAAGTCCCAGCATTTAGGAGGCAGAGGCTAGGGGACTGTGAATTTATTGCTAGCCTGGGCCACATAAAGACACTGTCTCAAAATAAATCATTAAGAATCTGATGGTGAGAGTTTTCTTTTTTTCCTTGATACTGAAATGTTTAGCCAAGTGGTGGGCACATGGTAGATGCTAAAATTGCACCTCTTACTGTTAGTGTGTACAAGTCTTGGACATATTGCTTTTAATTAATTAATAAATTAATTAAGTCAGAAGGGGAGGGCCTGCCCCTTGAAATTTCTGAATTATTGGTGCTTCCTAGAAAATATTAAAACAGTAAGTCTGGTCATGCACTGTGAGCAATCCAGTTTACAACACAGTTAACAAGATTATTAATCTCATCTGGTAGTGAATCATGTCTTCATTTGGTAGCTAGTCAACACAAACATTTCACAAACACAAATATTTCAGCAACAGACCAAAAGCATACACAATCTTTTATACAAATTGGTTAAGGGAATTATATTCTAGTATTTTTAATAAATAGCTGAATCACTAGCAATAAAGTTCTAGTATATTTCAAACATTTTATCAATGTGATTGCTAATAATTAGGCAAATGTAGCATCATAATAATGAGATATGAAAAAGCAGCGAAAAGCTTAGTTCTCTAGAAATGGGAAATGTGACCTATGTTTTATTATCCTGTATTTACATAGTAAAAACTTTTGGCACTCAAATGCTTGTTGAAAAATGGCTTAAGGTGCCTTTTTTTTCTTTTTCAAACTCCTGGGGGACAGGGATTATGTTTCCTAGACACAAAATACTCAGGCTTGCCAGTTGGCTTGAAACAATGGATATATATATGTACATATATATATATATATATATATTCCATAAATGTTTGTTAAATGAGCCAACATACAAATAATTTTCGTGGTGGATTTCTATTAACTGAGGGGGAGGAGGCAATATATCAATAAATAGTGATTTGTTTTAACTTTCACATAAGGAAGGAAGGCAATTTATTGTAGTGAAATTACATTGAAGCTTTACATAGAACCCCCAATGCACATAAAACCTCTGACCTCCACACTGTTGCTTCCTGGACTGCAAAGAAACACCGTGCTTTAAATGTAATACATTTCCTCCCCTCCACTCATTTAATGATTGAAAGGAGATATTTAAGTATTAAAAATAATTATCATTATTATTTCCCAATTGCCTTGAACAACTCCAGATACCAAACTCTATGGCTTGTGGTCTCTTTCTTTCTTCTACTGTGATGACTAGTTATTACAAGCTTGCTTCTTAGAGTAAACTGTTATCAGAGATTTAGATATTGTTCCCTCAATATAGTTTGTGGAAAATATGAAAACTTGCATGGCATTTGAGGCAGCATTAATGAAAAGACAAAGGTGATTTTAGAAGCACTTTTCCCTAAGGGAAAAAGAATAATGAGTTACTGAATGTACATACATACACATGAGCAAGGATTCATGCAGACCTGCTCTCTCATATATACATTCGTTAGATATTGCACAGATCAGGTACACACACACTAGCACCCTGCGGAGCTATCCTTGCACAGGAGGATTCCACTAGACCATCTACAGGAGCTTATTCATGACTTTTTAGAGAACACAGTCTACACGCAGTTCTTTATGTGGTCCTATATGTACACATTCCATAAGTTGGTACAAGGCCTCCTGTCCTAAATGTAGGATTCTCTGGCATATTGGAGTTGGTCAGCATCGAAGATCGGCTGGCTACATCGTCGCCCAAGGGAGTCCTGCTTATCTTTCTGCATAGACTCTGATCTGGTTCTCAGTCGGTGGAATTCAGGTCCAGCTTGAGTTTCTACAGAGACACTGACAGTCTGGCTCTGTTTCAAATGCTCAGTCATGGGAGATGGTATGTGATCACCATGTTTCCCTTCACTGAAGATGCTTTGCCCATGGGGAAGAGGTGGCAGCTTGGAGTCCTGGCTGAGCATTCTGGCTCTCATACTTCCAACTGTCTGGCTTCCATAGGCCATGAATCCAGATGCCTGGAGCTGAATGGCCTCTTGGTAAGATGGCGGGCTTCCTGGACTCCCCCTGTCAGCTAGCTGGAACACATCGTCCACGGAGAGGGCCCAGGAAGGTGAGCTGAGGCTGACAGCTGCTTGGCTGTGGATGTCAGACTGCTTTTCCTGGACGATTCGGCCAGCAAGCTGGCTTTCTTTCCGCCAGCCTTTCTTGACTTGGTCTCTGGTTATGTCTTTGGGTTTCCCAGACTCAAAGCTGGGGGTTTTGAGCAGGACTTTTTTGTGGGAGGCCAAGGAGAATGACAAGGAGTGCTTTTTAATTTCTCTGTTGGGCTTGCCTTTTTCAGTCTTCATAGTGAAAGACTGATGTCTGGTGAAGAAATTTCTTTTGGGGCAGGAAGGAGAAGGTACAGGTGAACTGTCAGAAGACCCATCCAGGGAGCTGCTGGAGAAGGCTTTGGGTGCCAGTCCCTGTGGACCTGCCAAACCCGGGCTCAAGTTGTTGAGCTTCAGGTTTGCTGGTCTCTTGGGTTTGCTTTCCACTGGAAATGGATCTTCTGTTTTCTCGCTTTCGAAATGAGAGCTGGCCCCGGGCATGGTAAAGTCATCTTTGCTTTTAGTTAGTTTCTGGCTTGTCATCCGGCTCTCCAGGCACTCCTGTGAGGGTGGCATGCTGGGATCTGAGAACCTCCTGTCTGTCTGGCTGACGGCCCTTCTCAGCCTGGCTACTGTACTAACAATGGGCTCTGGGCTTAAGTCACAGGTGTCCTGTGGGACCCCGCTGTCCAAGCCAGCAATGCTGGTGGTGAGCCCTGGGGTTGGCCGGCTGGGAGGGCTGGTGGTACTGCTGGTCTCCGCATCAGGGTCATTGCTGTCGTAGGCAGAGTCATTCTGCAGCATTGACACATCTGGGGAGATTAAAGGCAGAGTTGAGGTTTGGGGTCCAGGCCACCTCTTCATACCAGTTACTTATAGCAGTTATTCAAAGTGCTACAGGACTTGACATAAAAACAAATCTACTACATCAAAATTCTACTTCTTTCATATTTTATTTTGAGGTTAGGAGAAGAAAAGGAAATGAATGAGTGACGAAGTAGGGAAGGGAAGAAGGGGAGAAAGAAGAAATGAAGAAGGAGGAGGTGGGAGGAGGGAAAGAACACATGATCCAGCATTGATTGAATATTTAAGTTTTAAAACTGATCACTTGGATACTCCTTTATTAAAACAATTTCCATTTTTATTGGGTTCATATTCCATTATGTAGAGATAAAGGTTTCTTACCCAACTTCCTAGCTGATGGCTATGTGGTAGTTATTTGTGATTTAGAATAGAAAGGGCAAAGTTGCAGATAGATGCTGAAAGCTCCTTTGTAGTAAGAGAGGCTGTGGAGGGGAAATCCAAGAGCAATGACTTCCTGCGTGTTTGATGACTGCTAAATGACTTCTTTCAGGTTCTAGTCTAACCTGTGGTTTGTGAGGGATATCTGACATCACTAGCAGGCACGAGGGATTGGCATGAGCCACAATGATAAGACAGCGTGTTCTGTACCTGAACTGTCGGTGTGGTCCAGGGAGTCGTCAGAAGTGATGCGAGAATGAGCCGGAATGTTCTCCCCAAATATTTCAAAGCAGTTGTCAATGAGGAATTCCACCAGTGTCTTAACCTGTGTGTGTGAGAGGGCGGGGGGGGGGGGCCGGGGAGAACGGTTGTCAGCTTAAGGATTGTTTTTGTTGTTTTACAGAGGGGATAAAGCATGAAGACATGGAGGCTAACTAATGGGGGGAAATGTCAAAATGAGAATTAGAGATTTTTATGTGTCTGAAAATAGTTTAATGAGACTTAGTAACAGTAATACTTTTTTGGGGTGGGGTCCGGTTGTGGGACTTGAACTCTGGGCCTGGGTGCTATCCCTCAGCTCTTCAGCTCAAGGCTAGCGCTCTACCACTTGAGCCACAGTACCACTTCCGGCTTTTTTCTTTTTGCTTATGTGGTGGCTCTACCACTGAGCCACCTTCCCAGCCCCAGCCTTTTGGAAACATACATTTTTAACTGAAGAATTAAAAAGAATCCTTTAAAGTAACTGAACTTTACTTATTTATTTATTTATTGTGGTTGTGGGGCTTGAACTCTGAATCTGGGTGCTGTCCTTGAACTCTTCAGCTCAAGGTGAGCATTCTACCCATTGAGCCACAGCACCACTTCCGGTTTTCTGGTGGTTTATTGGAGATAAGAATCTCATGGACTTTCCTGCCCAGGCTGGCTTTGAACCGCATTCCTCATATCTCAGCCTCTTGAGTAGCTAGGATTACAGGCGTGAGCCACCAGTGCCTGGCTTGAACTTTTTTTTTATTTAAGCAGGTCCTTCCCCAAACAATGATGGACAGGGTGTGAAGTTCAGAAGGCTGAAATAGAATTTTTCTAAGGGGATAGTGGGGCATTGACCATTACACTTGTCTTCCAAAGGCTAAGGTGTCAGAGGACACAGACATTCGGTCTCATAAACGTGTGTGCCTGAGACAGTGGAGCCCTGTGGATGCATTCTGCATTGCTGATGTCTGCTGTGACCCCTGAGTCACTTGGAGAATCAGAAGCATTTTGTTGGTTGGCTTTTGTGAACAGAGGGAGATCATACAGGGAAAGCTTTTTAGGTAGAGGCAGAACAAACCTTATTGTTCAGGGCTTTCTGGGCCTGGAAAGACAAGTGTTGGTCATTCTCTAGTGTGAGCATGTTGGGGCCAATGCAGATGGCCAGGTTGCTGGAGTCCATCCTGTTGACCTCGGCGTTCTTGCTGATCAGATGCAGCACACAGAGCAGGTGCTTGAGCAGAAGAAGGTTGGGCCAGGGGAGCCGATCTGCAACCCTAGAATAAAGTTAGGGATGTCAGTTTTCCAGGGGGCTCAGAGACCATCTAGCTTTCCTGTTAAGAGTTTCTTCAAAGATCAGACTTCTTTAACATGAGGAAGGCACTGTTTTTCCTAAGTGATGCGGTTAAGTCTTCATTCAGACTGCTTCCAGCTGCGGCTGACGCTGAGCAAGGCTGGCTGAGCACCAGGTCTTTCGGATGCGCCTCGTACCACAGCCCCCATTACGTATCAGATCACAGAGTGTGACATCTGCACCCAGCACAGTCATTTGCCTTGACATTTCCCAAGCCATTTGGTCTACCAATCCATTAGCTATGCAGTAATTCTTTGTGTTTAACATCTCAAGATTGAATTTCTTGCTTTTCCCTGAACTGAGAATATCTCTATAGAGAACAAGCCAGTCAAGGCATTATTATGACTAACAACAATAAATTAGATCTTTTTAAAAGGTCTCACTTAAAAAAAACCAGTGAAGTGAGGCTCCAATAAATAGATCCTTTTTATTCCTCAGATGAATAATTATTATAAAATATTTTATGCCTGGCTAGAAATGTGTTGTAATAATTTGGGCTTCTGTTTGTTTTGGGACAGTCTGATGTCTTTACTTTGATACATTATAGAAAATATTTAGCAATGAGGGAGGATTATAACATATAGATAAATTTTCTTGGGATGTGCAGAGGTGCTGACATTATAAAATTAGGCTTTTAAGGGTTCACTGGGGGTGTTTGTGGCTGGAGTGGTAGAATGCTTGCCTAGCATGTTAGAAGTCTTAGGTTCAGCCCCCAGTACTCTCCAAAGAAAATTAGGCATTTAGAACTCTCTAGTCATGAAGAGGTTACATTTCTATCAACATAGGCAGTTACAGTTACCTATATATTTGTTGTTATAAAGTTCTCATTTTGGTTAATTGTAAGAATATTGAACATGCTATGCGCTTTTATGAACGAAACAATCCCCCCCAAATTGCACCAGATGACATTTTTACAGGAAACTGCTACCATGTGCAGACACCATCAAGGTGGAGTCAGGACAACCCACGTAGCCGTGCTCTGCAGATGCTCTGCATTGAACTGTCACACACGGAGAGACTATCCAACTTCTAGAGATTTATGAGTACTAAAGATCATTTTCTGCATTTTGAAAAGTACTCTCATTTGTTTGTTTAAACTACTTTCTTAAAGCGTATAGGACACTTATTGGTGTGTATTGTGGGAGTGAATGAGCAGTTCCACTCGATTTCCCTGAAACGTGAGTCACAAAGCACTTCTGCAGCTTCACGGAGGCCTGGCCTCCTGGACTGCCTCTGTCAACTTACTGCTTTAGGGCCTCAATTCTGTCTTCCTCCTCCTGCTGCTCCAGGGCTCCCATCCAGTCTTCAAACAGGTCGCAAGAGAGCAGCTTCCCGGGGATACCCCGGAGGAAGTCCTGGAGGACAAACGAGAGGGTTGGCCTGTTTGCCCCATGTCGTGTGTGGTGCTTGTGCAGGTGTTCCTCCTTTTGTTGCTTTTGTCCCAGCTGCACAGGCCACTCACGTTTGCCCTGCCATAGACCATTCCTGTCCCTGCTCCATTCCAGGCAACCTCTCAAACTCACACTGCGTCTCAGCAACTTCTAGCATTAAGCATAGTAAGAGGCACCTTCCCCAGAGATGTGAATTTAGGGTACCAGATGTAGAAGTCTATGGATTTGGCTGTGAACAAGTTGTCTTTCTCATCAAGAGTTTGGAGAACTTAATGCACCCCTTCCAGTTGAAATCTGGGATCATTAGACCTGATGTGTTCATTATAAATAATTAAAAGATTTAACTAAAATTAAAAAAAAAACAAGCACCTAAACTACAGGTCTGCTGACTGCCTAGTGAGGAGCAGAGCCTCTGTCTTGTTTCCTGGGAAGGAGGTGTCTATACAGACGCAGTGCAGCGAGCTCACCTTGAAGACCACCGCCAGGAGGTGCACTGGGAGCACTTCCAGGTCCACAGCACTGCCACCGTTGAGCTCCTCTTTCAGCTCCTTGCGGGCTTTCTCACTCGCAGCTTTCCTGAATATTCCTTCAGTTGAAGGGCCTTTTAGACAGAGAATTGTGAGAATGTCCTGTGGGAACAGAACCAGGAACAGAATGGTTACCCAGGGCTTGGGGACACACGCTGTGCCACCTCTGACTCAAACATCTAGGTGTGGGTCAGAGCAAGAGAATTAAATAATGCACCAGAACAGTCCTGACCTCACTGTCATACAATCCCCTCTCCATAAAAGCTAGTTTTCTTTATCCTATAAGGCTATTTAAACAAGACTGTGGAGGCCAGTGTTGGCTGCCAGACAGGATCTACTGTCTCTCCTCCCGCCCCCCCCAACCCGTCATTTTTCTAGGAGATATACTGTGAACGCTCTAACTTTGCACGTTCTAAAAGTGCTTTGGGCCTCCTTCCTTTCAACTATTTCCAGAGGAACTTCAGATTCCTGATCATATATAATCCACCCTAGCCCTGCCTGTGGACTTTGCAGAAGCTACACATGTTCAGCCGCGTTGAAGCTGTGAGGTCAGAGGAAGAAGCCAGGGGCCATCACTCTGAGCTCATGAGCGAATCCAGTGGATTCTTAGGATGTAAGGGAGCGGAGAATCTGAGCATTGCTTCCAAGAGCGGGAAACTCTAAAGATCAGTTCCAACAAGTTCAATGTGAAAATCAAATTCTGATTCCCCAAGGAGTTTCCGCGTCCCAGAAAACCCGAGGGGAGATGAGTCGCACACACCCACCTGAATGGGCCTTGGGAGTGTGTCCTCACCACAGATCATTGGCAAGGGCTGATCAAACAGTGACACTTTCAACTCTGGCTCCAAAGATCCGGAGAAATCTGACGAAGGCGAGAGCCTTCTTATGAGAAAGGGCCAGGACAGCACTTTCTTTCTCTTCTTAACTTCTATAACCAAGAAAACAAGAGACAGAGAAAAACTGGATTATGGTAGGATGCTTTTAAACAAAGATCAAGGTAAGAACAAGCCAGCACCGGTGGCTCACGCCTGTCATCCTAGCTAGTCAAGAGGCTGAGATCTGAGGATCACAGTTCAAAGCCAGCCTTGGCAGGAAAGTTCGTGAAACTCTTATATCCAATAAACCACCAGAAAACCGAAAGTGGCACTGTAGCTCAAGTTGTAGAGCGCTAGCCTTGAGCTGAAGAGCTGAGGGACAGCACTCAGGCCCAGAGTTCAAGCCCCATGACCAACCAAAAAAAAAAAGAAAAAGAAAAAGAACATGGAATTGTTGGCCACATAATGGCATTTACCATATGCCATAAAGGGGGGAATGATTTTTTTTAAACTTTGAAAGCAAAGGGCATGACTCTTGATCTATAAAACCCCAGGCTAAAACAACCACATAGTTACCAGGCAACCGGCCCCTAAACATCTTGACACCAGGGTTCCTCAAAGGCCGCACCTTTCCTGTTTTTACCTTCCCCAGTGACTTGCTAAAGAAAATTAGCAAAACTTAACAGTGTAAGTCATAAAAAAAAAAACCAGGTTCACATCTTGGTTCTCATAACTCCAGGGAAAGTTTCTGAACAATGGAGACTTTTAATTTCTTTCCTTGAAAACCTTAAAAGAGGAAGTGACTTGCTCAAGATCCCTTTGCAGGGCTCAGCATTCACCTTCCACAGCCACTAATCAGCCACTAGAGGGAGCTACGCGGCCCAGGGTGCCTGCAGTCACCTTGGCCTTCCCAGCTTGCTGCTTTTGCACCAACCTGCGCCAAGAACTGGTTGTAGGAAGGCTTGAACCTAGACATGCACAATGGGTACATTCTCCCAAAAGTCTTCTTTTTTTCCCCTCCCTCCCTCTCTACCCCTCACTTTCCTAATTATAAAAGCTTCTTTTGCTAAATGATACTTAAGAAGACCGAGGCTGAGGTATGCTATGAGATGCATTATGAAGACATTGAGAACCAAGGTTGGTTCTTTGGGATTTGAGGCCAGCCTCGACAGCTTTATGGGTGCTTAGAGGCAGCCTCTGCTGGAAAAGAAGAAAATGGAAAGGGCGCTGTGTAATATTTTCAAATGCATGCATGCTTTCATTCTCAAACATAAAACGGCCAGGAGATCTATCTGTCAGGCTGCGGCGCTGGGCTGGGGTGGGAGTGGCTGCAGAGAGGGTCTTTGCCCTGACAGCCCTGGCTGCTCTCTGGAGGCAGAGCGTGCCTGCCAGCAAAGGGTTAATATTTTATGGTCTTGATCAGAACATTTAAAAACAAAATTCCTCGTATTGGCAAGGTACTGTGGTTTGGTAGCGCTCACAGGAAAGAACAGTTTGTTTTCAGAACTCACCACTTATCTGGCAAACACTGTCTTCACTCTCACATGACATCAACAAGGGGTGATCTTTGATATCGCCCTAAAATAGAATTATTTCAGTTAAAATAGTCATACAAGAAACCAGTCCACCATTCCCTACCAAATATGAATGGAGCAGGGAGGAGAATGAAGTCATAATATTCAATGAGAAATGAGAGACTAGGACTAGGAAAACAGAGAGATGGGGGAGAACATAGAAGGGGTGACATTGATCAAGACACAGTGTCCTCAGATCTGACATGCTGAACTGAAATCCCTTATACAGCTACTTAAAGGTAATTAAAAAGTACTAACACATATCTTCATCTTAAAAGCCAATGAACAGAGTGCATTGATTTTTTTCCTTTAGCTTTTAGAACTGACAATCTTAACAGTCATCTGAGAAGATCTCAAGTGATATGTTTAATTTGCTACACTGAGGAGATTCATTTTCTACTCCAATTAGCCCGCCAAATAATATTCCATTGGAACAAAGTTTTCTATCTTTTCACAGTGCAAATGAAGCATCTAAAATTACTTTCTTACCTCTGACTGACATTCAATTAACGTCTCCATGTTATTGGCATTTAGTGTTTTTGACTAAAAGAGAGAGAAACAGAAAACACTGAGTAAATGTCTTTTGGCTCCTGTCTGTGGAGAACATGAACCAATCAATGTAGGAGGTGTACGTACAGCATCAAAGCTGCCTATCAGCTTCATTGGCTGCTGATGTGAGCAGGGGACAAATTCCACGCCGTTAGGGCTTTGATTCTGTCTACAACAAATCATACAGGTAGGTGTCAGGCAGGAGAGTCACTGCTGATTTTCCAAGAACAGGGCTCAAAACTATTCAGAAAGTTTTCATTTAAAAATCCTTCTCTTCTTAAGAACAGCATAGAAACACATTTATTTCTATTTATAAATTCTTCAAGCCAGATTCTTCACCAAGTCGAACTCTGTGAGTCATTATTACATCCCTATCTAGGGATGATCGGAATAGCAATTACAATAACAAGTTAACTTTTTTTTTTGGATGAAGTACTCTGAATTGCATTTCTCACCTAACCCAAACAAGAAAAGAAAACAACCAAACAAACAGAACTTATTCCCAGATGGTGCTTACAATGATCAACACACCAAAGATAACACTGACAGAATTCCTGGGGCGGAGAGTGCAGCGAAGTATTCAGTGTTGGCAGTCTTTCCAACACTGGTCCATGGTCCCTGTTTTCTGTTGCGCCTGGTCCCCGTTTTCCCCTGCCTTGCTAGACAGTGAATCTCCCGGTAGCACTTACCCTCAGAAGTTCTCTTAGGCAGCGTCCTTTTACCTCCTCTGGATTGTGGAAAACAGGATACAGCATGACCCTCTGCTCCTGCTTACCCAGCCACAGAGAGCAGGAGACTGGACTTCGGGTCTCGTGCTGTGCGTTATAAGCCGCTGGGGCGGGCAGGTGGAAATTCAGAATGTTACTGGGACAGGAAGAAACATCACCCTGGGTTGTCACAGGGACAGAGCTCGCCAGAAGCTACACGGCTCTCACTTCCTCATTCCTTTTAAGGCAGCTATGGTTCTCCACCCTCCACCCCCCTTCTTCCACTTCAAAGTAAAGGCTCTGTAAATGACTTTGCCCTGGAAAAGATGACAAGTGGCACACGGCAAAGGCTCCGATTAATGTCAGAGGTGGGAAGTGCCTTATTCTGTGCACAAACATCACCTTATTTTCTCTCGAGTGGTAATTTTTGGTCACCCCCTCCTTTCTTTTGTATCCGGTTTGCTGTTTCTTCCAGCACCCACCATCTACTCCATCCTGCAGGATCAAACAGCGGCATCTGTGTGCAGCCAGTGTTTTAACACGTCAGGAGGGAGCCCCAAGCTCCCAAAGCACGGACGCTCCTCTGAGAAGCATCAGCACCCAAAGCCAGGTCAGCAAAAGAACACACAAGAGCTCGTGGCTAGCATATTACCTACTCTCTCCATAATTCCTAGTCAGAATGATGAATATAGTGTATATATGCACACACTATCATATATAGTACATGTAAACAAATTAAAAAATACATATACACATGCATACATATACACAATTCAGCCAGACCAATTTAATGTGGAAAGGGGCTGGTGAGACTTCATCTGCAGACCCTTACTGTGCAAGAGAGAATTTCTGGTCTTTTCTAGAAATAAGAGGCCAGAGAGACATGACTCTGATAGAATGGAAGAAAACACAGATATACTCACCCAGCATAGAACAACCTCTAACTGTAGGATTCTTACAATATACTGCTGAGTGAACGAGCCAGATGAATACCAACTTTTATACTTCCATTCACACACACACACACACACACACACACACACACACACACACACACCAACAAAAGTGATCTACTGTTTTACAGTAAAATCCAGAAGAGAGATTTTCTAAAGAGTATGGTTAGTGGAGGGACTTCCAGAGGCCGGGTGGGGGTCTTTGTAAAGGAGCACTTCTGGCCCAGGATTTTTGTTTGTTTTTTTGTCACTCGTGGGGCTTGAACTCTGGGCTTGGGCACTGTCCCTGTGTTCTTCAGCTCAAGGCTAGCACCACTTGAGCCATAGTCCCACTTCCAGTTTTATGGTAGTTATTTGGAGATAAGAGTCTCACAAACTTTCCTACCTGGGCTGGCTTTGAACCACAATCCTCAGATCTCAGCCTCCTGAGTAGCCAGGATTACAGGCATGAGCCACTGGTGCCCAGCCCTATTATTACTCTTTCAGTCAAGTTTTAAAATTATATAGCTTGATTCATCAGATGAATTTTAATTCCAGAATCGAATCATATTCATAGTTCTATTGCTTTGAGGCAGCAGAGGCCATGGGGGCCAACAGATCCCTTCTTACTGGCTTGCTTGTGCTTTGGGCATTCTAAAGCATGGTCTCTGCTGAATATAGCAAGTGTCAAAGTGTCTTCTCCCTTTGGATATATGCTTTTTTTTCTGGCAGAACAGAGTTTGAGTTTAAGGTCTTTTACTCGCGAGGCAGGGACTCTACCATTAGCCATACCTCCAGCACTGTTAATCTTCATTATTTTTCAGATAGGAGCTCACTTTCATCACAGGCTGGCATGGACCATGATCCTCCTATTTAAGCTTCCCAATTAGCTGGGATGGCAGTTACATACCACAGCACCAACAGTACTGATTGAGATGAAGTCTTGTGAACGTTTAGCCCTAAACCTCCATCCTCTCAAACTCTGCCTCCTGAATAATTAGGATTATAGGCGTGTGCCATGGCACTCAGAAGTTTTAAAGCTTTTGAATTTCCAAGTGAAATGTGGTTGCTACTGGCAATAAGGTTTTCTTCAGCATAAAGAAGACCATGTTTAAAATTTTACCATGAAACATAGTAAGAAATAGGCACATGTACAAACATGGTCATTTTAGTAGCAACATGACAAATGGTCACTCTTAACACCTGCCTTGTAGAATCCTTTTTCCCCCAGAATCCAGCTCAAGCACAATCTCCTTTAAGAACAGACTCATTCACATCGGACCAAACTTCCTTTCCTGCCCAGTGGTACCAGTTCCATCCTTTATGCTGACGGTAGAAAGCAGGGACCAGTGGTCACCTCTGACCTTTCCAGCCTTGTGTTTGTCACATAGTAGGTCCAGACTATAATTATTTTCCTCCTAAGACTGTGATGGACTGAGAAGGCTGAAATCTCGCTGTGTGCTGTCTGACAGTGCACATCTTCCTACGTGAACTGTTTCATTGAGAAGGCCTCTGCACGATGCAAGGGGAACTTGTGTGTGTGGCACTGGATGGGTTTAGAGGATGGCCTCGCCCTGCTGTCCTTGTCCTGGCGACCTGCAAGTGTGTGATGCTAGATCTGGGCGCCTGGACTTGTGGCTCACCTGACATGTGTGTGAAACCGTAGACTCAGCTCAGCAGCATGGGTTTCCAGATGTAGATGGGAGGACAGGACCACACCTGTCACTCACCTCTAGCCTTCCATGGAACCAAAGCCTCACCTTCTGTCATGAAGAAGAGGCCCAGCTAGCTCTGAGTCTCTGTCGTGAGAGGATCGGACACCTGCTGTTGTTCCTAGTGTCATGTTCTTATGGTGTGGAGGCTGAGGAGGTGGAGGCTTTGGGAATCAGGATTTAAAGATCAAAGGAAGCTGGGGAGTCAACCATGGTCAAGAGGCCTAGAGAAGTCCTGTGCCGACTTGGCCTCAGTTCTCACTGTCCTGGGATTCAGGAAGCCCCATGGTGTCTATCTGTCTGTCTGTCTGCTTGCCTGCTTGCCTGCCTGCCTCCCCTCCCTCTCTTCTCTTCCCTTTCCTTCCCTTCCCTTCTCTTTTCTTTTTCTTTTTTTTGTCAGTGTGGAGTTTGAACTCTGGGCCTGGGCGCTGTCCCTGAGCTCTTCAGCTCAAGGCAAGTACTTTGCCACTTGCGCCATTTCTGGTTTTCTGATGGTTAATTGAAGATGAGAGTCTCATGGCCTTTCCTGTCCAGATTGGCTTTGAATCACAATCCTCAGATCTCAGCCTCCTGAGTAGCTAGGATTATAGGCGTGAGCCACCACCACCCAGCTTGAATTTCTTTTATATGGCAGCATCTTGCCCTGCCTCTCCTCTAAGCAAAGTCTGTGTGGGATGTGGTGGGGGCAGAGGGGGGATGTAGCTGAAAGAGTTGTTCAACAATCCCCAGCCCCAAGGTTCATAGAAGGCCCAAAGGGAGAGGCCACATGTGGGTAAGTGAGGTCCACAGCCTTTTAGGTCAATGCTCATTCCTGGCAGGAAAACGTCTGCCCTGTGGCCAAATCTCAGCCCTCATTATTGCATGAGGGTTGCTCTAATTTCTCCAAGGCTTGTTGGACCCACGGGGTCCCTCAAACAATGCACGTAGTCATTGTGTCTGGCAGAATCATTTGCTGTACCTTCAAATGCCTGCATTTCTGTGGTGGCGGGTGTACATATTTCAAATTTGCTTTCAGATCTTTGTGATCATTAATTTATATTTGTGTTGGACTACAAAGTAGCCTCAGCATAAAATAATAGTTGAAGAACTCAGTGTTTTTAGAGAGCTGGCTTGGAAACTAAGAAAGGTTAGGACAAAACAATCTTTCTAAACTGCCTTCCCTACTTACTGGGATCAAGATGAAGGCATAAAAACCAACCGTCCTGAGATGAGATGATTAGAATCTATATTGCTGATGATAAAATCTACCATGGTGCCCCAGCACTAATGACATTTATGAACTTGAGAAATAAAGAGTTCCTTGTTTTTTGGAGGACATTTTAGTCTCAAAAATTGTACCATCCCCCCAAACAAACAAAAAATAAATAACAATTTTAAAAGTCTGATGTCAACGAAGATATGAGAGTATTTAAACATCAGTTACCCACAACGCAATCCACTACCTTTGGCAGCTCTGGGGTTTGAACTCAGGACCCTATATTTGCTGGTCAGAGCCACTGTTTTACTTTAGGCTTTCTGTTATTGCCTTAATAAAAGGCACATACTACCACATTCAGCTTCCCTCTGTGGTGATGGAGTCTTGTGGAGGCTGGCCTGCCACAGCGATCCTCCCAACTTCAGCCTCCCACATAGCCTGAGTCACTGTTCTCTGTGTGTGTGTGCAGGTACGCGCGCGCACACATGTGTTATTTTATATGTGTGTGTGCTTTAAGTAAAAAGGAGAAAACTATGAGAGTTGATTCGTTGCTAGTAGCTTACAAAATTCAGGGAGCAGCATGTTAAAATTACAATAAACAAAAAAGAGAGACCAGAACTGTAGAAACTATAGGAAAATGTGTAGTTAGCTCCGTATCTTTTTAAAGATATGCTTACTGTAATTTGGCTTTTATTTATTTATTTTTTAACTTAGGGCTTTCTTTTTGTCATATGAAAAAAATTATCCAGACTTTTTAGCTCCCTACTTAAAAGTTGTAAAGTATTTGTTATGGAATGTGTGTGGTCTTTTTTTTTTTTTTGTCAAATGCTGTGTCATTTTTGGCATCTCCAGAACAATTCTCTTAGCAGTGACCTCCAAAAGTGGCTCCTGGCCCCAGAATCCCAGAGCAGCCGTGTCATTTGCGAAGATCAGGGGGAAGGGGCTGAGGAACAAGGCTCTCTCCCTGGAAGACCAGCCTGGCCTACCATGATTGGTATCCTGTGCCCACTGAGTATGGCTTTCTCTGTTCATGATTCCTTTTAGGAAAGGTTCAGTCAGAATCTTACTCACCAGTGGGTCCTCACCTCTACGAGGGTGGAGGTTGTAGACCCTCTCTTGCGGGGAATGGCAGCCTTTTTGATGGGCACATCCAGACTCTGATTAGACCCTAGGACCATGCTGCTGGAGTCAGGTAAAGCTAGCATCATCATCTGTGTGACAGGATTTCCAGCAAAGAGGGCAAGGTAAGGCTGACACAAGTTCCCACAGACAACAGATGAGCAAGAATGAACCAGACGGGCTGCCCAAGGGCAACAGAGCGTC